TGCTCCAAGCCCCATCCAACCTGCCCTTCAACACCCCCAGGGATGGGGCAGCCACAGCTTCCCTGCCCAACCTGGGCCAGGGTGGCCAGATTATTTCTTTTCCAGGCCTAAAACAGAACCTTTAGTGTTGATACAGAATCATGGACTATTTTGGGTTGGAAAAGACCTTCAAGATCATCTAGATCCAACCCCCTGCATGGGCAGGGACACCTCCCACCAGCCCAGGTTGCTCCAAGCCCCATCCAACCTGCCCTTCAGCACCCCCAGGGATCAGGCAAAAGGGTGTAAATTAAATTTATGCAGTGACTTTCTTCACCATTTCCAAGGAAAACTCACTCCTGGTACTGGCATTGGATGTAACAGTGTGACTGTGCCATGTGTAAGGGAGTTTTGTCTTCCTAAATCACACTTTCTTAAGTCATATAAAAATACATTCAATATGAACGTGCATTCAAGGGGCTAAAATAATACAGAGAGGTGTCCCTGCCCATGCAGGGGGTTGGATCTAGATGATCTTGAAGGTCTTTACCAACCCAAACCAGTCCATGAGTCTATAATATCAACACCAACAGTTCTGGTTTAGCCCTGGAAGAGAAATACACTGGTGAGCCTGGCCCAGGTTGCCCAGGGAAGCTGTGGCTGCCCCATCCCTGGGGGTGTTGAAGGGCAGGTTGGATGGGGCTTGGAGCAGCCTGGGCTGCTGGGAGGTGTCCCTGCCCATGCAGGGGGGTGGATCTGGATGAGCTTTCAGGTCCCTTCCAAGCCAACCCATCCCATGACTTCCAGGGCTGCTGGAAATCTGCCTACACCCCCAAGGGGCTCTTGGTACCTCCATTGTGGCATCCACAGCTCTAGCAGAATTCAAGGCATTTCTTTGACACATCCTCTCTCTGCTGTGTCCACAGGGAAATCCTGATCCCCAGGGGAAACCAAACGTTTCTCCTCAAGCTCCAGAGGGCTCAGAAATGGGAAATCAGGGCAGGTCAGAAATGGGAAATCAATGCAGCTTTAAACAGGCTGCAGGGAGAAAGGCCTGCAAAGCAGTTCCTCCCTCTCCTCTTACACGACCTCAAGGCAAGGCCAAGGGATTTTGGGGCAGGTTTGTAAACCTTTGGGCCTGGTTTGACCTTTCTAGCTGCAGACCTGGCCTTGGGTTGCAGCTCCAAAGCAGCATCTCAGTGTTTGTCTCTGACTTGTTCCTCCTGGCACCCTTGGGTCTCCTGAACCCCCACCCAGGCAGGTGCTGAACTCCCTGGGAAGTGTCACCTACAACTGTTAAAACTTCTTAAGTCAATTTATTTGTGCAGCCAGTTCCTTTTTTTTGTCTCTTCCCCTGCTTGCAGTGGAAACAGGCCAACTTTTTGTTTTCCTTTAGTCATTCCTGGGTGCCCTTTCTGAAGCTGTGAACGTTCACACTCCAGATAGGAACAAGGAGCTGAATCCCCAGCTCCTGTGCATCGTGGGATCCCCACTGAAACCCTTTCTGGGAGAGCTTTGAATGATTTTTTTGGGTACTAATCAGCCCATTTCTCCACTTGCTTTTATGCTTTTAATAGAATGGAAATCCAAGGCCAAAATTCCCCTGGCAAGGGGAGCAAAGAGCTGGTCCCTGGGGAGTTCAACGTGGTTTTCTGGGCTGTTGCAGCTCAGCCCAGGGTTGGTGGGGCAGGGAAAAGGCTGAGTTCCCTCCTGCAGCCCTGGCCATGCTTGTGCTGCTGCCAAAGCAGAGGCAAAATAGCCCTGGTGTGATTTGCTCCTGCCCTGCCCCAGCGTTACGTGCCGTGAGTTTGGGAGTTGCCTGCTAGGAAAGGGTCTCATGGCAAGAGGAGGAGGAGGGTGGTGATGATGAAGAGGCAGCAGCACAGCCTGGGATGGGGCTGAGCAGGGAGAGGGGAGAAGCTGAACCCTGCTGCAAACAGCACAGATTCCTGGTGGGAATTGCAAAATCCCACCCCTGGAGAGAGACCCCCAGGAGCCCTGGGGGCATCTCCTCCTGCAGGGGGTCCACAAAGTGCCTGGGGGAGCCCTCGGGTGCCCTTGCTGGGCACCTGCTGTGCTCAGAGGGAACTTTCTTTCCCACAGCAATGCAGCCCCTCTTTGGGTTTGTTGTTGGGTTTTTTTAAGCAGCCTTCTAGGCAGCTTCAGCCTCTCCAGTTATTGGGAAGGTTTGGACACACTTGGAATTCCTCCTGCTTTCCCCCTTCTGCCCCAGAGCACGTCCCCCCCCCCCCCCCCCCCCCCCCCCCAGAGCACAACACCCTTGTATTCCACAGGGTGGGGGGTGTTATTTGGCTCTGGGGGTGCTCTGGATCCTGCCCCTGGGGTGACCCAAGATGGTCAAGGCTGATCCATCCTTCCCTTCCAACTCCTTCCACCAGCCAACACCTTCCACCCCCTTACCTGCCTCCTCCTGCTGGGGTGTCCCTTGGGCTGGGGATGCTCCTGGGGGGTGAGGGCTCCTCGGGGGGTACCCCAGGGGACCCCCCCGGGCTTGGCTGCCTTGCTCCATCTCTGTCCCTGGGTTTCCCATCCCTCCTCTGTCGCCGGGTTCCGACCCATCCCGCAGGATGTCTTGGATCAGGAAGGATGTCCTGGGTCTGGAGGAGCCAGGGAAGTTGTGCTGGGCTGCTGGGGGGGGCTGGCTCATCCCTGCTGGGCTGCTGGGTGCTCTCTGTCTCCTCCTCCTCCTCACCCCGGCGCTCAGCATCATCATCTCCCTCCTCCTCCTCCTCCTCTTCCTCCTCCTCCTCCTCCTCCTCCTCCTCTTCTTCCTCCTCTCCCTGCCCAGGGACTCTCTGCCTTCCCACCCTCCCATCCCTGCATTTATGGGGCAGCAGCCAAACCTCCCGGGCCTGATTGGAGATCCCTGGCAGGAGTCAACGCCCTGCAGGGGTGTCTTGGCTCCCTTGGGTTTCCTCCCTCCTCCCTCCTCTCTCTCTCTGCTCCCTCTCCCTCCAGACACCCTTCCCCAAGGATCCCCAGGCTCCCAGCCAAACCTCACCCTCCTCCTCCTTCCCCCTCCTCTTGGCTTCCCTTTCACCACCACTTCCCTCCCTTTGGGGACGTCCAGCCTGGGGTTTTTGGGGGGACCAAAATGCTCCCAGGATGGGGGGGTTTTGGGGAGCAGCATCGTTGCCTTGGAGGGATGATCTGCAAGGAGCAGCTTCTGCACCCCCTGCCCCTGCTGTTCTCCCTGCTCCTGGCCATGGAAATGCCTCCTCTCCAGGGGAATCCCTCCAGCACTTCAGGGACATGTTGCTTGCAGGGGAAAAGAAGGGCAGGGAAGGAGAGAAATGGGGTTTGTCCTGGATTTGGAGGACTTGGAGGGTTTTCTTCCAAACCTTCCACTTGGCTGGACATCCAGTTTGTTGCAAAAAGCAGGGATGGAGGGGAAGGTCAAAGCCCTTTTGATCAGCTTTGCAAAGCTCCTCCTGAAAGTGGAAGTGAAGGTGTGAGGGGCAGGGAGGGGGAGTTCAGAGGAAAATACTTGCAGGAAAGAAGCAGAAGGGTCACCTGAAGCCTAATTCCTTGCCCAGGAATGGGACACCATTGATTTAAGAAGCTTTGAGCACCATCCTTCTGTTCCAAGGCACCAGAAAGGAGCAAAACCCTCCCAATCCCAAGAAAAAGGTCGAGCTCTCTTGTCCTAACAGCTATTTCATCCTTTTTTTCTGAATATCTCCTTTATTTACAGGCTTTTTCTAGAGTTCCTGTCTGGAAAACAACTCCCCTCTCACCCCACAAACCCCCCCAAGATGTGGGCAGCCCATGATGGACAAACCACCTTGGTCCATCCCATGGAATAACAACCTGGTGGGGACCCCCCTGGGAGCAGGATTGGGCTCCATGGATGTGGATGAGCAGCATTCCTGGGAACTGCAGAATTGTAAGTCCAAATCCAACCCTCCCCCCCCTCTAACCCTGGTGTCTCCAAACTCCTTGTGCTGTTGAAATAACGTGGCCATTTGGATCAATCCTTGGCTCAATCCTGGGCTCAATCCTGGGCTCAATCCTTGGCTCAATCCTTGGCTCAATCCTTGGCTCAACCCTTGGCTCAATTCTTGGCTCAATCCTTGGCTCAACCCTTGGCTCAACCCTTGGCTCAACCCTTGGATCAACCCTTGGCTCAACCCTTGGCTCAACCCTTGGCTCAATCGTTGGCTCAACCCTTGGATCAACCCTTGGCTCAACCCTTGGCTCAACCCTTGGCTCAATCGTTGGCTCAACCCTTGGCTCAACCCTTGGCTCAACCCTTGGCTCAATCCTTGGCTCAACCCTTGGCTCAACCCTTGGATCAACCCTTGGCTCAACCCTTGGCTCAACCCTTGGCTCAATCGTTGGCTCAACCCTTGGCTCAACCCTTGGATCAACCCTTGGCTCAATCCTTGGCTCAATCCTTGGCTCAACCCTTGGCTCAACCCTTGGCTCAACCCTTGGATCAACCCTTGGCTCAATCCTTGGCTCAATCCTTGGCTCAACCCTTGGCTCAACCCTTGGCTCAACCCTTGGATCAACCCTTGGCTCAATCCTTGGCTCAACCCTTGGCTCAATCCTTGGCTCAACCCTTGGATCAACCCTTGGCTCAACCCTTGGCTCAATCCTTGGATCAACCCTTGGCTCAACCCTTGGCTCAATCCTTGGCTCAATCCTTGGCTCAATCGTTGGCTCAACCCTTGGCTCAACCCTTGGATCAACCCTTGGCTCAATCCTTGGCTCAACCCTTGGCTCAACCCTTGGCTCAACCCTTGGCTCAACCCTTGGCTCAATCCTTGGCTCAACCCTTCTCTTCCTAAACCTTTCACTCTAACCCAGCTCCTCTTCCTCAGCTGAAAAGCCCAAACTTGGGTTGATTTTTTTCACTTCCCAAAGGGAAACCACAGATTTCCTTGCAAATCCCTGGAGGAACTTGGTTTATTTGTTGGGAAGGTGTTTGGTTCCAGCAGCAGGTTGTACAGAAGTGCCCCAACCCCTGATTTTAACTTGTCCTTTGCTCTCCTTCTTTAACCTCCTCAGCAAAAAAAAAAGTCTCCCCCCTAAATTCACTAGAAGCCTGGAAAACTGATGGGAACTTCAACATTCCAGCCTCATGATCCTCCTGTAGTCTGAGAAAGGGAATTGGGAAAGATTTAGGAAGCAATTGCAGCCCAGGAATTGCACTCAGTTGCTCCAGAACCTAAAGCAGATCCCACCTTGCTGCCCAGGGAGGGGCTTGAGATGGTGGGAACACAAGGGGGGATCCATGGCAGGACCTTGGGAAGTCCCTGGGGACTCTGGATCAAATCTGGGAGCTGTTAGATCTCAGCACCTGCTTGTGTGTGTCCCCCCCCCAGGTTCTCAACCTGTTGTGCATCCATAATTCTTGTGTCTCTGGGACAAACCCACGTGTGTGAGGACCCAGAAGAAGGGTTTCTGGGCAGGTCCCTTCCTTTCAGAAAGATCATTTCATTTAAATCCAGTTCTTTTCCTGCAAACAGAGCTGGGCTGTCACCTCTCCTCTGCTTTACCCCCCCAACTTTACCCCAACCAAGAGTGAAATCTCCTGGTTCTCTTGGTCTCCTTGACCAGGTCTGTCCTGGGTGACCTCATTGCCCAGCTCTTTTGGGGTGAAAAATATGGGAAAAGGACTTGTAGCTGAGGAGCAGTGAGATCTTTGTACCAGGACAGGCTGCCCAGAGAGGCTCCATCCCTGGAGACATTCAAACCCACCTGGATCCTGTGGGATGTGCTCTGGGTGCCCCTGCTCTGGCAGGGGGGTTGGGCTGGGGGAGCTTTCCAAGTCCCTGGATCTTTCCAATCCCCTGGGATCCTGGGGCTTGGCCCTGGATAAGAGGTTGGATCCAGGTTTTGGGGAGATGGGAGTTGGTTTGTGTGAGTTTGGGAAAGCTCTTCTTTTGCAGCAGTTGGTGCCACAGGTTCTTGTTTGGGTTGGGAAAAAAAAAGGGGGGGTGAAGCAGCTGCAACCCTGGGGTGTCCTGCTGGGATGCAGGTGATGGGGGGATCTGGCCAACCTGGGCATCCCAGCCCTGTGGGCCTGCAAACAGAGCTGGGCTGTCACCCCCCCTCTGCTTTACCCCCCCAACTTTACCCCAACCAAGAGTGAAATCTCCTGGTTCTCTTGGTCTCCTTGACCTGGTCTGTCCTGGGTGACCTCATTGCCCAGCTCTTTTGGGGTGAAAAATATGGGAAAAGGACTTGTAGCTGAGGAGCAGTGAGATCTTTGTACCAGGACAGGCTGCCCAGAGAGGCTCCATCCCTGGAGACATTCAAACCCACCTGGATCCTGTGGGATGTGCTCTGGGTGCCCCTGCTCTGGCAGGGGGGTTGGGCTGGGGGAGCTTTCCAAGTCCCTGGATCTTTCCAATCCCCTGGGATCCTGGGGCTTGGCCCTGGATAAGAGGTTGGATCCAGGTTTTGGGGAGATGGGAGTTGGTTTGTGTGAGTTTGGGAAAGCTCTTCTTTTGCAGCAGTTGGTGCCACAGGTTCTTGTTTGGGTTGGGAAAAAAAAAGGGGGGGTGAAGCAGCTGCAACCCTGGGGTGTCCTGCTGGGATGCAGGTGATGGGGGGATCTGGCCAACCTGGGCATCCCAGCCCTGTGGGAACTGGGCTTTTTGGGAAGAAAAGGTGCCTCCAGCTCTCAAAATTCCCAATTTCAGGCTTTTTATTAAATTTTCTCCTGAGCTGGGCAAGGCACCAATTTCCCTCTTTGGTTTCTGGGGGTGAGTTGAATGGATTTCCCCTCATTTTCTGGCTGGATCTCCAAGGATAAACCCTCAGTGCTGCTAAGATTTGCCCCATGGTGCTGGGTATTTTGGGGGGGTGGTTCCCTGATTCTGGCAGCACCTCCTTGTGCCAGGACCCTGAGGAGTCCAAACCCAGGACAGAGCCCTGAGATCCAGCTCATCTGGGGCAATAACCCCAAGTGAAACAAAGGGGAGGAGAAGGGACAATCCCAGTGCCCCCATTCCCAGGGGCTGGGAAGGGCTGGAAGCAGCAGGAGGGATTTTCCTGGTTGGATTGGGGTGTCAGGGATGTCCCATTTGGGAAGGGAGCACAGAGGGGGCTGAGTGGGATTAGAGATAACAGCTCAATTGCCTCCTGCAAGTCCCTTTTTTGAGCTAAATCCTGCAGGATAAGAAGCTGTTGGGAAAGGAGCAGGGAGGAGGGAACAGCAGCAGGGCCAGATATTCCCTGTCCCATCCAGTGGGAATTGTGTGCAGGATCCTGCCTGGCTCCATCACTGGGATGTTTTGGCATCAGAGGGGGAAAAAATCCCTGTTCAACCAACACTTTGCATCAAGAATTGACCTTGGTGTGCCTGGTTTTTCCCTCCTTCTCCTTCTCACCACAAGTTAAAGCTGCACTGGGGGGTCTTGGGCAGCTCCAGGAGGGGGTTGGGCTGCCAAGGTCTTGGTTTTTTAGGCTTTTGAATCAGGTTTTGGTGCTCCCATGCAAGTGGAAAGTCAAAATACTGAGTGGGGAAACACACAGCCTGGGTTTTATTGGCAAATGATTATTGTTGTTCATCATTAATAATGATAATGATAAAAGAAATGAACACCTGTGCTGGGAGGTGTTAAGAGCTACAGATCAGAAATGATTAGAGGAACTCAAAGGATTAAATAGTGTCCATCAAAAGGCAAAGTGAAGGCACAGGGATGTGCACAGCCCCCCTTTTCCAGTTGTCCTTGGGAAGAAACCCAGTGTCTGTGGCCTCTCCCTGGCCAGGAACGTCCTGGAAGCTCAATCCCTCTGGGAGCAGGAAGGGAGGCAACAGCTCAATAAATAAATGCCCTCTGGCTCTGTGTCCCCAGGGCTGGAGCTGCAGTGTCCCCCCCACTCTCCTTGGCAGGAGGGGATGGAGCAGAGCAGAGCAGAAACCCTTTGGATCCAGCTCCCACCCTGACCAAGGGTTCTGAAGGTTGGAAGGGAGGGGGGGATGAATTTCCTCAGTGCTTTTCCCCAGCCCCCTACCAAGCCCTGGTCCCTGCTTGCAAGCACTGGGTGCTGCTGGCCAAGGCCAAGCTCAGGGTGGCACTGGGGGGCAGCCCCGTGTAGCCCCCCCCATAGGCAGCCCCATAGGGACTGTAGTAGGAGCTGTAGGTGTAAGGGCTGGGGGTGATGCTGCAGGGAACTGGGCAAGGCTGGGAAACCCCAAGACAAGGTTTCCCATCCCTGACCAGCACGGGCACTGCCACCCTCCTGGGGGGCAAGGGGTGGGCAACCAGCTCCAGGGACTGGTCCTGCCTTTGCCTCTTGCACTTGTACCTCCTGTTTTGGAACCAAATCTTCACCTGGGTGGAGGTGAGTTTCAGCAGGCTGGCCAGGCACTCCCTTTCTGGAGCAGAGAGGTATTTCTGGTGCTTAAATCTTCTCTCCAGTTCAAAGACTTGAGCTTGGGAGAACAAGACCCGGGGTTTCCTCCTCTGTCTCTTCTTGGGGCAGGGATCAGTTTTCCTCTCATCTGCCTGGAAAGGGGGGGTGAGGAAACATTCTCCTGCAGGCAGAGAAAGAAAACCAACCCCAAAGTGAGACCCAGAGTGTGGGATCCAACTGGGAACCCCCAGGGATGAGGTGGAATAGGGCTGGTGGTTGAGACACTTCATACGAGCTTCCCTTGTGGTGTCAGGAGTTGATGCCTTGAATAGGGAGGTTCTTGTGGGGTTTAATGGGAATGCAGGGAAATTCCTGGGGTTTGGGGGTGGGATTAGAAGGCTGAGTGTTATGTGGGGTTTGGGTAGTGCCTCTTTTGGGTGTGTGTCCCCCCTCAAATGATGGGGGTGCTGCTGTGGGTGCTGCCCCAGCCTGGAGGGGCAGGGGGAAGTGGGGATCATTGGAGGTTTGAGGCCCCCCAAAATCAAATCCTCTTCCTCATTCTGCTGCTCCAGGGGGTGGAGGGGATGGAGGGGATGGAAGGGATGGA